ACACACACACACACACACATATATATATATATATATATATATATATCTCATTCTATAAAAATTCATACAAAAATCCCAATAAAAACTGATTAAGTATGCCACCCAATGGATGTACTATAGTACTACACTCATAAAATATATATTACAGTGCACACTTTGCATTTGTAATCTCTTGAAGTTACAAAAACTGCTATAGTTACAAAAGAGATAATGAGAAAAAAAAGGAGAAGTGACCATAGTAGGGAAAGAATTCAAAAGCAATGATGGGTATCTCCAGAAGACCAAGATGGGGATGTAAAAATGTGCTTCAAAAACACATAGTACTTTTGTACATCCCTCCAAACCTACAATGGGAGTTGAGAAGTATAGAGGGGAAGAGGGAATAATTATGTTCTGAAACTAAAGCTGGATTGTATTATTTACTTCCTTGCTACAAAATTCAGTCTTAGAAATTGTTCCCCCAATATCACTCATATTTAACCATTACTTATTGAGAACCTACTTATAGTAGGTTCCAAGGCACTGTTTAGATTTTTATTCATACAGATTCTCATCTAAAATTTTTAAAGAGTTTTATTATTATCGTTGTTTTTATTATTATTTTGTTTTTGTGGTTCTGGGTATCAAATCCAGGGCCTTGAACATGCTAGGCACTTGTCACACCATCAGCCCAGGTGTTTTATTATTTTTAAATACTGATGTCCATAAATTACTCCAAAATAAAGTACATACTCAATAAATGAAATAAAAAGTGTTTTATTAGTTTTGCTCCTAAAAGTTTATTTTCTCTTGAGACTGTTTGCCCCTGTTCAGGGGGTCTTGAGTTTCCTCCATTATCTATAGGGTTGAGTTTGGAAGAATCACTGATAGGGGACTTGCACACCTGAATACTTGTACATATTTTTATCTAGATGAGAGGCTGAAAAGACCTACCCAAGAAGCAATGAATAGGGAAAGAATCAGTAACATTGGTGGAAAAAAATCACAAACCAGAATTCATCATACCCTATGATATATTCTATTATCTCTATTCCAATATGTTAAGAAGATACCTGAACTGAAAAGGAACAATAACAAGTTCACATCCATTATATAAAAGTCATATTATTGATGACTACAGAAGAGTCTACCATCAGAGAGCAACTTGGTGTCTGCCCTATGACTTGGCTCTATGAGAGTGAGAAGCACAGTAGAGAGGAGAAAGCAAGGAGTCATAATTAGGAGTACGAGTTCATTCTTGCAGCAATATGGGGGACATTCATATCCTTTAGTGCTTCAAATATTCCTAATATTTAAGAAAATTAATAGTTATGCTCCTTCCTATTATAAGAACTAATAAAATAACTTGAAGATGAACAAGGCCCAAGATGTAACTTTTACTAATGAACCCCCAAAGGACTTCAGTATCCAAAAATGTACGGAAAGGAACAATGTTTATGTGATATTATCCTATTTTTATAGCACTTAATGCTTTTGAAAGATTTATGTCCATATTTCACTTGCATGATCCCCAACATAATATGAACACATAATACATAAAAAAGCATCAGCAAATGATCACCTTGAAAGTATGTAGAGTTGATCTGGCAGTTGTAAGGTGGAAAAATTGGGGGTGTATGAAAGACATTTCTATCAACCCAAAATTGTATTTCTTCTTATTAATTCTATACAAGGATTTATGAAAAACATTGATACAGTAAGACATACCAACTTACTCTATAGGAAAACAGACCCTGAGGATTACTATTGACAATATAGTATGTGTATTAGTCACCTGGAAAACTGAAAAACACTGGAATCCAGAGGTTTAAGTTGAAGAGAAGGTGATCTGCTTTCTTCTCCAACAGACGGAAACAGGGTAGGACTATCAATTCTCTCATATCCGATTGTCTTGTCTTTCAGTCCAGCCATATCTTGAACAGAAGGAATCTTTGGTGGATTACTGAATGCCTAGCAAAGAAAGAAATGATTCATAAAAATCCCAAATTAAAACCAAACTTTAAAGATGAGTCAATCCTTCTGATGCTAGGAAAGAACGCTTGGCCAAATAAAAAGAAACTGTTTCCTACACAAAATAAACAGCGCGCAGAAATGTACACTAGAACAATGAACCCAGGCATATTCAGTTATTAACCTTATCAGCTAGACACCAACAGACCTCCCCCAAATTACTTATTGGCTCCTATAATTATCCTACCCACAACATAAATCAAGGCCCCTAATCACTGTCTATTTCTATCTTGTGACCCAGTTGAAGGCTGGGTTTTCATTCTTCTGATATCTGTGATGAGAGTAGGAGTGGAGGGAAAAAGCATTGCAGCAAGTGTCTGTGCTGGTTTGGGAGAAATTCATGCAGGAGATGACACATGTTCACAGTGCACACACACACAGAGACATGCATTTGGGATATTGTGGGAGAGCCAGCTTATGAAAATAGTATGAATGATTAAGGTAAAGGAATATAAAGGGGAGGTAAACTGAATGAGGACAGAGCAGTCCTAGGAAATCTCCTGATCTCTATATCAGACTATTAATTCAAGACATTAGTATATAAAAACCTGATTACTCATATGCCTGGGTTTTGGAAGGATATCAGAAGAAGAATTCATATTAAATTGTCTCTATCCTCACCAGTCTGACCTACCCTGATCGAATGGGTGAAAGGTGAATCTAACATGCGACTAGCAGGTCTCTCTGGGAAATAGGGTCAAGAGGGAAATCATGCAGAATGGCAAGGTTGGGTGGGGAAGATATATGGGTGCTATGGTGGCTGTCAGGAGAGGAGTGTCCCTGAAAGGACGGCCAACCTTATTGCACCCTTCAGCGTCCGGAGCTGGGCAACCATGTCCGAGAGACAGTGCTCCTGAAAATTCAAAACAGCAGAGTCTTTATAAAGCCAGCCAGCCTGAAAGCAGGGATTGGGGAGACGCACAAAGAACCACCCTTTCTTCCCAAGAGGAAGGAGGAAGGAATCATCCCTGAATCCTGGAAGAAAGGAGACAGGAAAACCAGACACTCAACAGGAGCAGCCTGTAAGAAGATGGGACACAACCCTGAATATTCTGTGACGCCAAAAGTGACAGTATTGTCCACAATCAGTACTGAACCCAAATCTGGGAAATAAATTATTTGACTCTTCTATTTTAGGTGGTCTGAGCATCAGTAACAGCAGATCAGCACAAAACCCAAAGTTCCAATAAAAAGAAAAGACCACAAGAAGTAATGGTTATTTTTATGTAGATTTCAAGATTGCTGCTTTCTTCAACCTATATCTTCTGTTGGGGAAAATTGTGTGTGAGAAAAGGAATAGAGTGGACTATCTCTCACCTGGAGGTTCTCATTTTCCATAGATATCTTCTTCTTCTCAACAGATTGATCTCTAGAAGATAAAAGTGCTATTTAGTTCACTCATGAAATGTCTCAACTATAAATGGATTACCAATTACAGATTTAGATTATAATGTTCATTTCAAGTTAGAAATAGTGTGTCATTGAGTAACTAAAGGTGCCTTCCTGAACTATACTACTGAAGGAAGTTTTCAAATGCTATCTCTCTCTGAGAGATGGGCTGGGGGAGAGGGAGGGAGGGAGGGAGGGAGGGGGAGAGAGAGAGAGAAATTGGGTGGCGAGAGACAGACTTTAAAGATAATCAAAGTTGAGACATTCAGGAGATGGTAAGAAGGAATAAAGAAATAAAGAACTGGCGAACAGAGAGCTAAGGAAAACCTTAAGAACACCAAAAATTATCCTTCTTCTCAAAAGTCTGGATTAATACAAAAGGCCAGGATCCTCTACTTTATGATGCAGAACACCACCTCATGCATACTCAACTGTTTCTTAGTTTTGCTCAAATATAAGTCTTCATCAATGAGTTCTTGTTCCTCTGGAACAGAGCATCTCCTACAAAACAGAGAGTAAATCATCTTTTGGAAGCAAAATGTATTCTTCACTTTTACTATGTACTTTCCTTAGCACTATTACTGGGCAGTTTGACAATCCTCTAATATTATAGAGTTCAGATCTCACAGTAAAAACAAACAAACAAAAAAATTCACTAATACGTAAAGCATGAGGAAGAATATTTTATGAGTAAAAACTGAAAGAGTGCTCAAATTTATTCAATGGTCAAAAACTATCCTAAAAACAAATAAAACCTAATAATTAGAAACTGTTATATCCATTTTATAAGAGAGTGAAGTACCCTGGAAGCCTGTCTCCTGGACTGTCAACAGATAAAAAATAAAGTATTAAAAATGAAGCTTCTAAGAACTCAGTCCCGAATTCTAATCACATGATCTCATTATTCACCATGAAAAGGTACTTAGGCACATCTGGAGACTATTAGATTTCATTTAATTAATTTTCTCCATTTTAGACATTTCCCCTAGAAAGCAGACTCTGTTGTAGAATATTTTTTTCTATTAGCATTTATCCTGCAAAAAAAGAATCTTAAGAAAGTCACAACTGGATTGAAGCAAACTGACTTATTACAGACATATGCGACTACTGAATCAAATGAAAAGTTGTTAAATTAAAGTTAACACAAATGGATATGCCAGGCAATATTTAGAGATTGAATGCTGAAAGGAACACATGGTATATTAGGAAGACAAACATTTAAACAAATAGCACTGAATGTACAATAGGTACTGTTTATATTGATTCTCGATAAGAAACATAAAAATCAATTTAACCTGGAATGTAAAGACTTTATTCTTTAAGAATTTAAAATTAAGGGAAGGGGCATAGGGTCAGAAATGATGGTGGAATGTGATGATCATTATTATCCAAAGTACATGTATGAAGACACAAATTGGTGTGAATGTACTTTGTATATAACCAGAGATATGAAAAACTGTGTTCTATATGTTTAATAAGAATTGTAATGCATTCTGCTGTCATATATAAATTAAAAACATAAAAGTCAATACATGTAAAGTGAACAAAAAAGAATTTAAAATCTCTTGAAGAGCAAAAGCATATACATATAAAAAACACCCCACAACACAAAACAGTATTTGAACAAATGTCATGAATCAAAACATGCAGGAAGTCACTGTAAACTACTGTCAATGGGAAAAGTGTCCCATGAGATATGGATAAGATTTGGATAGGCAGATGGAAGGCAGAAGATCACTGCAAGCAACGGAAAGATGATCATGGAGGAAAAAGTAAGCATGGCACATGTAGGGAATAGTGAAGTCACAAATCTGGCCAAAGTACAAGATTTGTGTTAAGATATAATGAAAAATAAGACTGGGTAAATAAGGTGGGGCAAGTCAGCATAGGGATTTGAATGTTAGCGAAGAGTGTATAACTGAGATGAAGTATTTAGAATATAAAGATACATCAAGAGTTGTCTCAGGTACAATACTGAGACCTGGAACCTTACCTGTATTTTGGATGGGAATTATAGTAACAAAACCATCTTGCAGGTAATGTAGATGGATCCACCTTGCCAGGAAGTTTCCTCCATTTAAGACATTCATCACATTGTACCCATGTCTGGTCAGGAATCTTCCTGAATGAGGGAAAATAGAAGTGTGACTGTGTATATCCTAGCTCTGTGCTCTGCCTTACATTATAAAGGCACAAAAAGTGAAAATAATTAATTTTATATATGAGTTATGTTGGAAATGTTATAGATGTATGAAATGTGTTTATTTTGAATTTCATACATAATACTAACATTATTTATGGAGGTCAATAATATTTATCTTGGCAAATTTTATTCTAAGCTAATAACAGGATAATTTTAACTCTAAAAGTTTATTAGGAAAAGGCATCATGTATGTATGTATGTATGTGTGTGTGTGTATCTGTGTTACATTATTACCAAGAAATAAAACCATTGAATCATTTTATTTACTTCTGTCCAACTACATAACAGATTTAAAATACACTTATGGGAATCACTGAAGCACAGTCATCAAACCATCTTGCTCATTTCCCTGCAGATATTCCCCATCCCTTTTCTGTTTTTTTTTTTTTTTCAAAAAACCCTTTGTTTATAATGCTTCAATCCAAATTTTTTAGGTTGATATTCCCAAAATTATTCTTTAAAAGTGCTATGAATTTTGCTTAAATATCCTGACCAGAAATGGTAGCTTTAGACCAACAACTGAATTAAATTAAGATAAAGTCTTCCACAGTTCAACTCTTGAAATACACACCCATTCCCATCCACTATTAGAAACAGAATCCAGTAACCAATGCCCCAAAGACAATTTGTTTCTCTGTGAAAAGAGACGGCCCATATATGATAGTACTCAGTACCTAGGGTGTGAAGAGTGGATGGAGCTAAAAGAGGGAAGACTAGAGAAAAGACAGAAAGAGGGGAGAGGGGCACCTTGGGCCAATTTAACCACTAGGGTGAGTTTTGTGTATGTTATATTTACACTGCTCTAATACTAAATATTTTATTAGAGTGGTGTGTTTCTTTTAAGCCTAGGTTTAGTATTTTTCTTTATTGCTTCAAACATGCTTTTTTTTAGTTATATAAGTAATATAATAAACTCCTTAGGAAGAACTAGAAGATACAGAAAGATATAAAGAAGAAAATAAAAAGCACTCATAATTCTACCATTCAAATACAATGTCTCTTCTTTTTTAAAACTCTGTTTTAACACAGTGTATACACATTTTTGGACCTAGAGCTTCCTATCTCTTAGCTGCAGGATGTTCCAGACTTGTAACCTTTAAGCTCTAAGCTCAGGCCTGACCTCTGGTGTCTATATATTTCTACACAGACACTGATTCATTTAAAGCCAGACCTTGCAAAAGGTTTCAGCAGTAGTGTTGAGATGAGGGAGGAAAGAAAAAGGTCATATTAGCCTATACACATATATACAGAATAGTCTGTTGTAGAAAGATGACAGTATAATTCTTTCAGGCACACTTAGAGGCAGTAACTCTGTTTTGGGTTATATGCAATCATGGTGGATCTTTCAATCCAGGCAGGTAGGAGAGGCTTTTAGCTCATGCTTGCATTAAACAGGAAGTTAAGGAAGCTGTAGTAGATTCCCTCGCTTTGCAGTGGCTAAAAACTTAGGTTGAGAGATATAGTTGCCTATATTTGAATCTTGGCTCTAACATTTTCTACTTGTCTTACCTTGGTCACTCTAACCTGGGTGTAGGGGGAGCTTCCACTGCACCCAGGATAGAGGGGGATTCTCCGCTCTAGGGGGGGAAGGTCCCTCTAACCTGGGTGTCGGGGGGAGCTCCCACCGCACCCAGGGTAGAGGGGGACTCCCCATTCTAGGAGGAGAAGGTCCCTCTAACCTGTAGGCTATCAGTCTATCAGTCTCTACATCTATAAATAATATCTATTTCAGTTACAGTGATTAAATTACTGCATGTAAAAACTTTGAAATGCTGGTAACAGTAGCACAACCTATAATTCCAGTGATTTGGGAGGCTGAGACAGGAGCAGGAGGATCATAAGTTTGAAGCCAGCCTTACAACTTAGAGAGACCCTGTCACAAAATAAAAAATAAAAATGGCTGGAGGTGTAGCTCAGTGGTAGATTGCCCCTGGGTTCAAAAGTCAGTTTAAAAAAACATTAGGATCTGAAGTTGTGGCTCAGTGGTAGAGCGCTTGCCTACCATGTATGAGGTATTAGGTTCGATTCTCAGCACCACATAAAAATAAATAAAATAAAAGTATTGTGACCATCTACAACTAAAAAAATATACAAAAAAATAGAACTATGTGAGGCTTATATGTAATCAATAAACAATTAGCATTATTACAATTCTGCTTCTAGCACATACACTCTCTAGCAGTATATGAATATCTGTGTTTCACTGCATTAATCATTGCTAATTTGAAAGGTAAAAAGGCATCTCATCTTAACATGCATTTCTTCAAAAAAATATAGAAGATGGACATGAACTGATATCTTTAGAATAAGGTGGAAACATACATATAGCCATAGTTGCATATGAAACACATTTTTAAACATACATTTGTGTGGTAGCTTCCATTTAAAAAAAGGGAACATCCCCAAATGAACTTTTAACATGTTAATCTTTGTCTTAATGGTAGTATAACTGTGTTATTATACAGTCTATCCTCTATATTATGCTCCTTTCCTGACTTTCAGAAGCATTTCAACCTCTTCGTTGTGTGATTTCCTGACTTAGATCCAATAAACTCTTCCTTATTTCTATTCTACTTTTTCTCTAATGCTGGGTTTCCAGTATTTCAATACTAATTTAGTGTCAATAATATTGACTAGGAATAAAGAGAAAGCGAAATGTGCTAAAATGAATGAATACCTACTCTATGCCAGGTACTATGCTAAAAACGTTATGTCACTTAATTCAATACATTCAGAGAAATGAAATAACCATCCCAAGCCCACCCAAATATTAAGAAGCAAATCCAGACATTTAGCCCAAAAATGTCTAATTAAATGGCCATCATTTTCCACTATATTACACTGCCTCTATGAAACAAGAAATACTAAACTCCTGACATATTTATGACTGAAATCACCTAAGTGTTAAACCAGACTAAAGAAGTTTAAAAAATGATACAATTAGTAACTGTGCTTTCTCAATTTGTGAATTAAACTTCCTAATGTGAAAAACATTTTACCCTTGTTCCTTCAATTTGATCTATGAACATTACCCATAATCCTTCCCATATTCTTTATTTTATTACTCATGTTACTGGCCTGGCTGTAGTGGAGATCTCAAAATTCTCTTGAGATATCTTTTCCTTCCAATAAGCATTAAGCTTCTGGGCAAGGGCATTTATTGTCAACCTGAAAGAAAATGCAAAAAGTATGTAAAGGTTTAGCACTTGTTAAACAATCCATAATGACTAATCATGTTGAATAGTCACGTTGTGTAAAATAGTCACAAGACCTAAAAAGTAGAGATCTATAAAATTTTCAGGGTTTGTAGAATCATGGAGAAGGCAAGTTGACCCTGGAGACTATGACAGAGGACCAAACTGCAAAGCTAGGACAGAGCCAAATACTGGTAATTTGATAGGAAGTTATTTAATTGTCAGATAATGATAAGTAATTGAGAATTAAGTTGAAAGTCAGAGGATCAAACACTATACCCTATCTCTTATGAATTAATCAAATATTAACTTAAAAATGTCTATATAGTTCCTCTGCATCAAAATGCTGATCATATTAGTAAAGCCCTAACAGATAAAAACCCCTTTGATATTCTACTATATAGCTGTTATTGGAGGCTGTGTATGAGTTCTGGTTTGTCCTCTTTTTTCTTTTCTCTCTCTTCCCATGTAAACAGGGGTAGATTTAGGGTCATCAAAAATGTGATTTTTAGAAGTCAGAGACATGAAAATTTGCTCTATATGTGTACTATGAATTGAAATGCATTCTGCTGTCATATATAACAAATTAGAATAAATAAATACATTTAAAATAAAAAAGTCAGAGCATGCATTTTAATTGTAAAAACTTGTAACTTCCTGGGCTTGGGTTGTGGCTCAGTAGTAAAGTGCTTGTCTCACATGTGTAAGATACTGGGTTTGATCCTCTGCACCACATAAAAATAAATAAAATAAAGGTATTGTGTCCATCTACAACTAAAAATATATTTAAAAAACTTGTAACTTCCTAATTAATAACTCCTACTTAATTATACAGCCCAAGAATACAACTCAATGCAGACCTATACAGAACACTACAGTCCAAGAATACAACCCAATGCAGACCTATACACACCTAGAACACCCCAAATTTAGAATTTTTAAGAATGTCTGGGCCCTGGCTGGGGTTGTAGCTCAGTAGTAGAGCACTTGCCTAGCACATGTGAGGCACTGGGTTCCATCCTTAGCACCACATGAAAATAAATAAAATAAAATAAAATAAAGGTATTGTGTCCATATACAACAAAAAATATACTTTAAAAAAATGTCTGGGCCCTGTGGATCACTCCTCAAGGTTTCTGCAGACCTTTTCTCTTCTTAAGAAGAAATCAATCTTACGTCCAATTACTCATATTAAATTATATTCTCACTATGGAGAAGAATAAAATAATCATGAGACCCCCTACAACTCTTATTCCCCTCTAACCTACTAGTGTTCCTATCTCCATATTTCTATCTTTCCCTCAACACAGGACATAAAACTATACATTGTGTCCCCCTAAAAATCTACTAAAATCTGCTTTTAAAAGAAGTATAGCAGCATGTGATGGTGTGTGCATATAATTCCAATGACTTAGAAGGCTGAGGCAGGAGGATCACAAGTTTGAGGCTACCATGGGAAACTTACTGAGACCTGTCTTAATATCAGAAATAAAAAGGGCTGGGAATGAAGCTCAGTAGTAGTGTGCTTCTGAAAAGAAATATATCAGATGGGCTTCTGGGAAGATGGAAGAGTAGTATGCATGGAATCTATCTCATCTAGATAATAACTGCATTAGCTGAATTTGTCTGATGTAAGTATTTTTGAACTCAGGAATCTGTTGAAGGCTTGTAACTTCTAGAAGAGAGCTTGGATGGTAAATTGTAGTTAATTTTGGTTAATTTCATTTTTTAGGACAGTAGCAGCTACACATCCCCCACCTTCAACTCCATGGCTGACGATCCTGTATGTATTCTAAGAGCAATTTGTAGAACACAGCACAGGCAAAAAGGATGATTTCCTCCAAATACTGGGGATCTCTGCTTCCATCCCTGATAGCTCTTTCTGAACACAGAAGTACAGACAAAAAAGACAGGTAGCCATTTCTGTTGTACCTTTTATTGGTATGAGCCCTTTACCCTCTAGCTAAAGAGGGAACTCAAAAGTCTGGCACCTCTTTATTCCCTTCATTTTTCTCTTTTTCTGTTTTGGGAGCCAGACATTAAAAGGTAAGATATTCAAAAGCAAATACATATATGAGTAAAATAAGAAAGTCACTGTGAATTCCCAGAAAAAGACAGGATTAGAAAACAAGTAAGAAGACCTTAAGTTTATACTTCAGGCTGATCCTTAGAACAGAGACAACGGACTACAATAAAAACAAAAACTACAGCAAATCCTGGGAAAGGGGGAGAATGTGATTTCCAGAGTTACTAGGTAATTAGATTCAAATGTCCAGTTTTCAATAACAACAAAAATCACAAGGCATACAAAAAAAAAAAAACAGGAAAACATGACCCATTCAAAGGAAAAATAAAACCAACAGAAACCATCCATGAAAAGATGTGATGATGAATCTACCAAAAGCTTTAAAACAACTCTCATAAAGACATAAAGATGTCCAAAGAACCAAAGGAAGATGAGGAGAAATTCATGAACAAAATGGAAATTGCAATAAAGAGACAGAAAACCTAAAAAGAATCCAAAAAGGAAAGCCTGGCATTGAAAAGTACAAAAATTGCAATCAATAATTCACTAGAGGGATTCAAAGGCAGATTTGAGCAGACAGAAGAAGAATCTGTAAACTCCAAGATAAGATATTACCCAAGCCCAAGGATCAGAAAGAATAAAAAATGAATAAAAGTGAGCGCAACCTAAGGCACCAGTGGAACACCATTAGTAATCTAACATACACATTGTGGAGTTCAAGAAAGAGAAGAGAGAAAGGGACAGAGAATATTTGAAGAAATAATGGCTGAAACTTCCCAAATTTGAAGAAAGACATGACTATATGCATCTAAGAAACTCAACAAATTCCAAATAGAATGAACTCAGAGTGGCTCACACTAAGGCACAACTATAATCAAGCCACTGAAAGACAAAAACAAAGAAAACCTTGAAAGTAGCAAGAGAGTAGTAACTTGTCATATTCAAGAGATACTTGGAATATTTAACTCTACATTTTTTTTCTACAGGATTTAAGAGAATACATTTAAAAGAAAAAAATTTAAAAGATACATTTAGAAGATGGCGGCGAGCGGAGTGCATTGCCCCCATGTGCCGAGTCACTGTGCGGGAGAATAACGAGTCAGGACGGCTAAAGGCTATCTTGTTAGGAATTTCCAACAAAAGTGGGGTGCTCCGGAACCTGGAGGAAGGATTTCCATCGCATGATGATCGGCTACGGGGGCTCAAACGCGAGAGATTTGTCCGCACGGAGGGTCACGCTGCTTGTTCGGCAAATCGCCCCACGGCTAGAGTCTGTGGCGCGTGCTGGGAAACGAGGAGATAGCGACGCAGGGATACAGCGCTGCAGTTTCTGCGGGCTTCTGCCAGCTGTGCAAGCACCATACTCAGTGCTGAATTCTGGGTTTGAGACGGGGGAAGGAAGCGGTCCAATTCGGTTCTCCACACTGGTCAGACCACAGAGGAGGCCAGCGGCCACCATCTTGGAGAGCTGACGTCACCATCCCTGTTTTCGACTGATCACAGCTCATTCAGCCATAGAACAGGTAATTTCAGGCTGCCATTCGCCTGCAGGTTGCAGACAAATTACTCAGGCTCAGTGCTAAATAACCCGTGGAAACTGCTTCTTGGAGCCTGCTCTTAACAGAGCATGCACAGAGCACGGAGCGGCCGAGTTCCGGCTCCCGGAACTGCTCTGGCCCAGGGCTAAGGAGCCCGCGGAAACTGCTTCTTGGTCCGGGTCCTGCTGAATACTGTGGAGGTAAATACCAACCGAGCCTTCCTGGGCAGTGGCAACAGGACTGAGACGGGGCCTGTGAGGGCCGGTCAGGACTCACCCGTTGCTTTGGTCACCCGGCAAAGGGAACGAAATGCTGCCATTCGCATGGGATACCAACATGGCAGAGATCTGATGTCATCAGAAAGCGGCGGAGGAGAGAACTTCATCAATACCAGCGGCGACAGAAACAGTTGGTCTCCTGGTAGGGAGGGTGAGTCACAGACACCCGAGTCTCTCTCGCTTTGTCGTCGAGCCAGAGGGGAGGAGCGGGGCCACCGCCCGCGCCCGGAGCAGGCCCAGCGGCTCGCCGGCGTGGTGGTCGCGTGACCCCAATTGGAGTGGGGGCAGAGCGGAGCCGCCACCTGCGCCCGCAAGGTGGGCAGACCTGCGACCGACCGGCAGAACAGGCCCAGTGGTCCGCGGGTGTGGTAGGAGGGGCAGGGCAGAGCCGCCGCCCGCGCCTGCAAGGTAG